GAGAGAGAGAGAGAGAGAGAGAGAGAGAGAGAGAGAGAGAGAGAGAGAGAGAGAGAGAGAGAGAGAGAGAGAGAGCGGGGATATGGTGGTCAGGGAAAGTGGACGGGAGAAGTGAAACAGTCAGAAAAAGAGAAATAAAAGACAAATGAAGTGTTTTGTAAGTGAAAAAACCAGTCGATAACCTGTACTTAGGAGTGATTAGAAAACCCCTTGTAAATTAATACGCCTCGGGTGCTACTCGATTCTCTGTAACCCTAGAGACAGGTGTGGCAAAGAAGGGCAGGGAGGGACAACGGTGGGGGAAGAATAAAAAACAACGCAAAACGCAACAGGGAGGAACGATGGGCCCAGGTCGAGAGGTTGATCGCGGGCTGCGTATAAAAAGTAAAAGAGGCGAAGGAAACAAGGCAGTGAGCCCTGTGAACTGCTGGCGCTGGCCGTGGCATCGCTGTGGGACCCGTGGACTTACGAGACGTAGTCTCTCCGCAACCTGCCGTAACAGCTGTCTGTTTTCTTTGTTTACACGCACCAACTGGCTTCAGGCGGGAGGTTGTTGTTCTTTTCCTTGTGCCGTTTCACAATAACTGAAGCATTGTTTAGAATTAGATCTATATTATAAAGTTTTCCAATTTGAGGCGAAGGAGAAATTCGTGGACAGAGAGCTGCCAGTGTTATTCTGTTGAGGTTGGACATATTATTATTATTATTACTTGTAGTATTACTGTTTTGATAAAGGACGAACTAGATTCGTGATCAGATCCTTAGCTGCTCCAAGATAAGTGTGCAGTTCATTGTGGAACTGACGACAGCCCCTTGAAAAAAAAAGCTAAGGTAGGTTTTTGAGTTTATTATAATTTTTGTCTTTCTGTGTACCACCCATACTATAATTTGATGGTTAAGATACACACTATAATATATAAATCTATATAATGCAGCGTGCTGATAATTGCTTTTCCTGGGATATTGTTATGATCATACTTTCACTATCTTCATTTTTATTTTCTTTCAATTTTCTTGTTTACCTGGAAAGGTCACGATATTATTTTATTACTATAGTTAACCACGGGAACAATAAACAACAGTTGCATCTTAAGGTAGAAACAATTATTTAAAAAAAATATTTTTTCATGCTCCCATCTTCTTCAATAAACGACATACAGAAGCTGAATGAGCTAAAATAATGAGCAGTTTTACAAGTAAGTAAAGGTAGGTTTACTGGGAAAGAATCTAGAGAAAGAGAATAAGCAAAAAATGGTGGATGAATGAAGAAAGAATGAATCAGTGAAGAAATACAAGATGAAATAAATAATAGCAACTGGAACAATTCTTTTATCTACAAGACCACATAAAACACAACATCTAACAAAAATGTTGCTCAAGAACTTCATCTTAGCTATAGCGTCATCCCTGAGTAAAAGTCAAGGGTGCTTTTGTTTTCAGAGAGCGGCTATAAGCTTTTTCTTCTTCTTCTCCTTTTCCTTCTTCTTCTTTTTCTTCTTCTTCTTTCTTCTTCTTCTTCTTCTTCTTCTTCTTCTTCTTCTTCTTTTATACGTTTCATCTATTTTACCTGTCTGTCCTTGCTTTTCCTTATCATCATTATAATACGTTGTACTGATGTACTTCTTTTAACCAGTAACTCCAAGGGAAAGGTTTATTTCTGACAAATATCACATGTCGTAAAAGTTGCCGGGCTATTCTCACTTGAAAATCATAAAAATCCGTCATTGTCACGTTTACAAAATATTTTTTTTAAATTGCATGCTACCTTCCTTTAGATTTTGAGGTCTGCCGAGTGTGCGTTTTCTTCTAAAAAATGACACAAAGGTTTGCGCCACCAGAATTATACTATACTATCATCAGACAGCTGTTCACATGTACTAAGCCCAAATCAACAAATACATGTATTTTATTGCAGTTTCTCAAGGTATCGTTTAAGTTTCATGTGCTAAAGAAATATTTTGTGGAAATTCAAATTCTAAACGTTGAATAAATCAAGAAAAGATACATAAGAAATATAGTTACGCGGGCAGTATTGCATACACAGACCTATTTCAAAGGCCGCCAAAAAACTTGTTAAAAAATGAAATAGTATTTTTTCCATCTTCTGAAAAATGTCGCTATCTAGGCTTATAGCATTTGAACAGCGTTCCGACGATCTAGATTCAGTGCGTGGCCTTCATTATCCATGTTCAGTGGCTTTCCCTTTTGAACGAGCCCACTTCTATAACTATAACACGATGTTTGCATAGAATCGCTCGCGTAGAATAATTTATTTATGAAGGCGCTGGACCGAGGTGCGACACTTGCCTCAGTATTATCGGTAGACGTTGTCCACTCAGGCATTATCTATGCACTTAATTAATTGTCTGTGCGTGTGGGTCAGTTGCTGGGACCCGTTACGAGTGTCTTTAATATTTTGAATTGAAACGATTCAGGTACTACTGGCAAGAGTCTCACTCAATTAATTTCGTTAAGAGACCTCCCTGTCTAACGAAGGACGGTCTCTTGGATTATTAATTAACCTTTGGCATATTCTGTGCGCTTAAATATATCAGTTATCATTCGGTTTCCACTGCATGTACATTGGAACTTTTGTGAAGTTAGTGAGTATGTCTTATAACTCTACGTCCAGTTGTTTCTTTGGCTACTTCTTCCAATTTTGGATACTTTTCTACTTGAAGAGGGAACGGGTGAGTGAATAAGAGAGGTGGGGAGATGGAGAGAGAGAGAGAGAGAGAGAGAGAGAGAGAGAGAGAGAGAGG